TCTTAATGACAGTGGCTTTGAAATACAATTTTTTCATATATCGAATCTACAAAACTTTTAATCACGCATATTAAGCTTGAGATCCCATTGAAAACTCACACATATTATAACAATTTACCTCCATCATGGATTGTTTATCTTCTGAGTGGTTCCGCCATATTGCATTGGACGAGTTTTGAGCAATAACCTGGGAATAAATGATGTCAGATTTTAATAGGCAGCCCAGGCTCTCTCGCTTATTCCGCTCAAAATGGCGGAAGTGGGATGATGTTGATAGAGCTCGTCCAAAGTCAGCTGTTCTGAAGTTTCCTCATGRGATTATCACAAGTAATCGTACARTGTAAAAATKYAGTGTCATTGTAATCCTTAGAAGGGAAGACAAGCACAGAAATGGTCGCTCTTTAATGTCAAAATTTACTTCAAATATTCTTCGCTGCACTTTGGGTGTGGTGTTTATGGAATAACAATACTTTGGCTATTTGGTACTTATTTTAGCTAATTATTATTAGACGTTCTGCGCAAATGATGGATCCCAGAACGGGGTTTTATTTACTGCTAAAGGACCTGGAAAATCCGAGTTATTCAGAAAACGCGACGTGGTGGCAAACATTTTCGAGCTATGTTTACACGTCCGAGGAYGATGTCGTGCAGCARCCGCATTTAGCTCTCAAAGGCGAACTCCTAAATACACTTGGACTAGAAGAACAACCTCAGGATACTAACAGGGTAGCTCTRCATGTTGTCAAACARTCCTATCTGCGTATAGAGTGCAACGTAGATGATTTGATGCCCCTTGGACTTGAGGAAATGAAACTATTGCTTGCTGTGAACTCCTTCTACGAAAGGTGTCGYATTATAGAAGAAGGAAGGATCAARTACGGTTGCACCTTAGATGAAGGAGATGAGGTAGCAGTGATGATGAAGGACCTACAAAGGGAGGTGCCTGGTGTGGTGAGATATAAGGGACCTGTGTCACCATTTTACGGGACAATGTTTGGAGTAGAAATTATGGTAAGTTTACTCTATTATAAAATTATTACATGGAAATGTTACACTGTTATATAGAGCGGATTTCGTATGAGTGGGAAACGGACGGTACTGTACTGTGTCCGTTATCGTACTGTAACCAAATTCTAGTGCCCCATTGTTTCACCAAAATTCTGCAGGCCAGGTGCAGTAACTGTGCGGTAACCGTGCGGTTATGGTGTCCCACTCATACGAAATCCGCTCTAGTGCTGATCATAAATCATATTTTTTTTCTTTTGTGGCATTGATTGACGACAAGGTTAGCTACATACAGCCAATCCCAGTAGTYTTGTGCAGTTGTAAACGCACATATAGACAACAACAAAATACTTTGCATAAAACTTTTAAAAACTCCAAATAAATACCATGTTAAACATTATTTGCACTGTAGTTATATTTTCATAATATTTAATATTCCTGAAAAACATTTCAAACATGATACATGCAAAGCCATACAGGAACTCTTGGGTGATATTTTGTCCTCTGGTGCTCTGGTTATGCATCATTGTTCCTATCGAAATAGAGTTGGGCTCCCTGTTGTAATACTGTTCTAAGCACAGGCAGCCCATCATATTCATGACCAGCTAAATTTCAATCCTTCAGGATGCCAAGTATAGAAGACATGGRAACTCTGATGGTTCTTATCAGTGTAAAAGGTACTTCAAGTGCMAGCCAGGAAGTGGTCTCTTTGTTTCTCTTGATAGCTTATGTACWAAACAAGGTAGGTCACATTCACCTGACCCCCACCATTACTTTGATTGGTTTATTTGATCTTCATGTAATGATGATATCAAAGGAATCAGTATCAAAGGGAATTTTATCTGTTTAATAAACAAGAAGTAGAGGGAAACTAGCCTGAGCTGCGTGTTTCTAACCACTTTCTTTAACAAAGGACTAACGTTCGAAACCTAAGGTTATTCCACCTACATTGTACTTTTTACAGTGTAAAATTTATTGTGACAAGTCAGAGAGTCTGTTCAAACTCATAAAATGAGAAAGAAAATTTTGACAACTGTGTAAAATTCAAGAAAGGGAGACTTAACTGTGTGGAAGTCTATGTGTCTTGTTACTATGCCTTTTAATTTCAGACCAAGGCTATCATGGTAGCTGATAGTTGTTTTAACCATTCTCTCCCATTGTCCTGATTTTGGGAGCRCAGAGATGGGGTAAAAGGAAGGCCCTAATTGCCTTTCCCATTCTTCCTGTTATCCCTTTCTTTCATTATTTTATATTTCACTTTGCTATCATATTGTGACTCTGGTAAYAAGTAGTATATTTTGTGATAATAAAGATTCTTATCTTGGTATCTGTTCTTTTTAGAAGAGAAAGAAACATTTGAAAAGATAGTCAAAGATGAGGCACTTTTTAATAAAGAAACTAAACATGAAGCTATCCACAAGAATGCAAAAGTGGATATGGATTGTGATGACAAAAAACCAATACCAAACTTGAACAATGATAACAATGCAGCAAATTCCAACAACAAAGCTGATCCAAGTCATGAGGAAAATGAAATGAATTCTAAAAGGGAGGCAGAAAATGAGAAAAAGGAAGAATGCAATACAAGTGGGAAAGAATTTGATAAATCCAATATGGACATGGAAGGGTTAGAACTGAAACCTATCGTTGATGAACTTCAGCAACAGCTTTTGAAAGTGTCTAGTGAACTAGAGGAGAAGGAAAAGAAATGGAAACAAGATGTTATAGAATGGGAAATGAAAACGGAACGMCAACTGGTCATTCAAARTGACTTACGTGAGAAAGTCACGCAACTAGAGAAGGTACTGGAGGACGTGACAGCTGCGAAGTGTGACGTGGAAGAAAGACTGAATGACGAGCAGAAACGATGGAAAAAGCAAATGAAAGGTTTTAGTCGAGAGTGGGAGGAATTTGAAAGGCGTCTTCTYGAAGAAAGAACATTAAGGACRAACCTAGAAGAAAGACTGAGTCAAGTCCAACGGCAGCTTGAACAGGAGAGAAGCCAGAAGCTTTCAGTTGAGTCGGAACTTGAGAAAGCGCGAAACACTCTAAGYGAACAAGCAAACGACTTTGAAAGGCACCGCCAATACTTTGAATACAGAATCCGGGAACTCGAGAACAAACCACATGACAGTGTGTCAGAATYAACGAATGAGMATTCAGAAGCTCGTGATTGGCTAATCAGACGTGACGAAATTAATCTGAGCAGCAAAAATCTCGGTACTGGAGCATGGGGACAAGTTGTTGAGGGGAAATTCCGTGGTTGCCCWGTTGCTGTGAAGACGATTCATGATCTCATCCTGTCACCRCATAATCGGAGGCTGTTCGAGCGGGAAATGACCATYGCATCGCGCTGCCGYCATCCYTGTTTGCTACAGTTTATAGGAGCTACAAACGACGATGGAAACCCTTTATTTGTAACAGAACTGATGGACRCCAACCTTAGGTCGGTTCTAGAAAGTCGATCGCTCACTGATGATGAARTACTGACTATATCACGTGATGTAGCAATGGCTTTGAATTATCTCCATTTGAATAAACCGCTACCCATAATACACAGGGATATTAGCAGTGCCAATGTGTTACTATGGAAACGCGATGACCACTGGAGGGCCAAGGTTTCTGATTATGGCGCAGCTAATTTTATGCGACAATGCAGGACAATTAACCCGGGAGCAGTCATCTACTCTGCGCCTGAAGCATTATCCATTCATCAGACTCCAAAGGTAACATTAATATTATTAGTAGATAATTCTAACGAAATCACYAAAAGAAGAGTAGGGGCGTTTTCTGAGGCGCCCTCTGATGAAGTCAAAATTAAAAAACGGCGACGGAAGAGGGATACATGGAAGTTGAAACGGAATAATAGGAAAGGCTTCTAATTTCATTCGACTCTGACTCCATTAACACTTCAGATTAGCAAAAATGAAGTGAAGACCAGTATATCAAGTTCGGAATCATAAGTGAAAAGTCAGTCAACCTCTAGACGTTTTCCGCTGTGAAGAACAGCATTGCAGACGACTTTTTGAATTTTAAACGATAATTTTGCTTCCTATTCCACTTCTGACCAGTAGTTTATAGATTACGCATCAGTTTCCTCCTCATACTGGAGTAGTTAAGATGTAGTGATCTGTAACCAATAGTGGCTGAGCGGATTTACATCGATACTCAGCGACAATATATGCTTATTTGTCATTTGTTTTTTCTTGCTAAAGTTTTGTCTTATCGTCGCTTACGATTACTTTTTCAAGGYCACATGTTTTCAYACTAAAATSTTYTGTTTTTGTTGTTGCAGATTGATGTGTTYAGCTTCGGATTACTGTTRTGTGAGATGTCAATTCGGGAACTTCCAGTACCCGAGCAAACTCAACGCCAAGTGGCCATGGTAGCCAATCAGCGTTCGAGGGAACTTATTTTTAAGTGCATTCRGGAAGACCATGAAAAGAGGCCCAGCATGGAAGAAGTACTACAAGAATTGAATTCACTCTAACTAAGAATTTTAAATATAAATATATTGATAAACAACAAAACATTAAGTAAATCATGTGATACAGAACAAATGCGWACAGTCACCCGCCGACTTTTAGATATTTGTATTGCAAAGCGGATATCATTTTATACTCAGTTTTGTCTTTTTAACGATGTGGTTGTATTTATTAGTATTTCCTACAACACAATTTTCATTATAGCTGATTTAGACCTGTTGGGATGAGAACAAAACGTTTCCTGTCGATTTCAAATGTTGTTAAAAGTTCTTTTTTTTGTCTTTGCAGATAGAATAAATAAAAAAATAAGCAGACAATTTCACTAATAACYTGAAGCCTTTTGAATTACCTTTGCAATCTTATGGATTCCCAGGAACATTTTCTTGCACGTATAACGAAATATAAAGGCTATGGGAAAACGATCAAAACTCGATCAAAATTTCCCGCCTTTTGACAAACGCCACCTTGCCAAATCAAATGACATGTCGGGAAATTTACAGATGTCAGGGTTGAATCCAGAGATACTTTCAATTGTCTTAGCTCTTGAAATCCACTCTTCTTAATTTGAATAATGTGCCTAACTATGTTTTAAAGATACAAAGTTTATGTTATATCGAATACATCAAAATAAGTCCTTGGCTTACTGGAGCATCAAATGCGTAATGTGCATGCCCTGAAACTATAAGCTTTAACTATAATAGTGCGATTGAAGCAGACTAGAATTRCCACTTTTAAAACTTGTTTCTTGAGTGGATGGATATTTGGTGATATATTTTGGTGTKGTCGACGATTGACCTACATCGCTTTGTCGGTATTCATTTTAGTGAGCTACAGGTCGCAGTAACCAGTTTAAAAGATCAAAAACCATCTGGTGACAAAATAGCAAAAGGGAACAAATCCCGAAGATGAAAGATAATATATTGACTAATATGATTTTATAGAGATATCGATCTAAACTTGTGCATTTTAGTGCGCATGCTCCATCATAGCACAGACCGCTGACTATTCCTAGTGGCAATTTTTACAGTTTGGGTGACACTTTTTGCCTCCAACTCGACACTTGCATCCTCCACTAAGATCACCTACACCCTGAAAAASAATGAAGGATTCATTGTGAAGATGACTTTGAGCTCCACAGAAAGGCCTCTTAAGAGTGGATACTCCATTTTACATTCCAAACACCTTGTTGAAAAGCACCAAGTCATTACACCAAAGCGGATTTCGCATGAGTGGAAACGGACGGTACTGTACTGTGACCGTAATCGTACTGTAACCAAATTCTAGTGCCCCATTGGTTCACAAAAATTGTGCAGGCCAGGTCCCCTAACTGTGCGGTAACGGTGTCCCACTCATACGAAATCCGCTCTAACAGCCTGGTTGTAGCCTATCTAAGGTATCTATGGACGTTTGTAGGGGTTTCATGAAGGGGTTTTCCAGGTTTGTTTGGCGGATTCAAGAATGCACAATTGCACGTGAACTTGTTTGGATTCACACCAAACTAATTGTTAGAACTCAGAAGATGTGTTACACCGTTTTGATTTGCCAGCTCAACCCATGAGACACTTCCAAGAAAAGGATGGGYTACTTTTCAAGATGGAGCTTTGAACTGTAAAACTGAGTGCTAAAGAAACCTCAGAATAATAGGCCGAGTAATMATTTTCAAAAAGAAAAGAAGACATTTTTACCATTGGTCCCCATCGAGGTCCTCTCGTAGCCCAACAAATCTCTAATCTACACATGCTACATCTCATCCAATCACAGCCGTCCTTCTTCAGAAGTATAATGGCACACTGTGGGCATTTCATTGCATCGCCTTTTTCTATCATTTGCTATARAAAGAAAAGGTTTGATTACAATATAGTGGCAAGTTTAGCCTTTTTTCATTCATCACACTTGATATCATCATCGCGTGCATTCACTAGAGTGTATTTATGACACACTTGGAAATCACTTCCACAACTAATTGTACTTTACCTCGAGAAAGTGCTGTGTTTGTTTTGCAGCGACRTCATTTTGCGCTCTCCTTTGTAAGTCTTCCTGGTACTCCTTGCAATTCATTTCTGGATGATGAATTGCTTTGCATGTCAAACAATTTACCTTYTGACACACCGGGCAGTGGAAGACATTGGAGTTGTCCTCGTAAATACACCATCCAGGGCAGTTAGGTGTCTTACAGTGAAAGCTRTTAGCAGCTTGACTCTCGGCTGTAGTTAGGCTACGGTTGAGAAATTTATTGAAGTCTTCTTCAGGAAGTAACTAAATGATATAAAGAGAATGTAGCTAAAATTCCAAAAATTCAAAAATACACCAACAMAAAGGAAAACATAAATGTTTAGGCTWAAAACAACGCACAAKCGASAACTTACTGCYTTAATTTCTTGAGCTGTGATGACAAAATGACAAGCAAAATCGTTGTCCTGGAAAGGACACTGAACTTCAGGATCGGTGCAGTTTTTGATGTGTTCTCTGAGACAGTCTCTGCGTTACAGAAATTAAATGTCAAGCCAGACACATGACTTTGAATGAGGAATGGAGCAAATGACCAGCCAACCAGGCAGAAACTGGTAAACCGAACACTTCTAACATACAAGTTCCCAAGCTAACTACCCAAGTGCTCCATAACTAAACATCAGCGTAACATCCAAAGACCAATTATGTTGGATTTTCATTTGCAAAATGAAGTTTGATGCTAGATCAGACTTAGATCAGACTTAACCTGACAAGTCGTTTTTGAAGCCTGGGCCGGGTTGTTCAAAGCCCGATTAGCGTTAATCCAGGGTTAACTCCATAGGTTTTCTAAGAGTTAACCCAGGATTATCGCAAATCGGGCTTTGAATAACCCGGCCCTGGCTATAACTTTTTCGTAGTGATTCAAACAATTGTCTGATTTCTTGTATCCATGCTGTAAGAATACTTAGGAATGTTCATGCTATGTTCCGTTGTAGGCATTGTGTAGTCTAATCATTCGGCATGAACAAATCTAAACACCTAACTCACTGATCAACTCAAAAACACTTATCACCGACCGACATAGAACAAAGAATGAATAAGTCAAAGTTAGATTAACTTACTCGCAAAAACAATGGAGGCATTCCCTGAGCATAACTCCTTCGCCAGGCTCAACGTYGAGAAAGCAAATTGCGCAGTCAAACTCCTCGGTATTTCTWATCAGATTTTGCTGCGCTGTCTCGACCAGTTGACGGAAATTCATCTCCCGGGCSACTTCTTGCTCTTGTTGCTGTTGGTTTATAGTCTAAATACGGCGTAGAACAGTAAGACGCTTTGTACATGGTTACTTGTATAMGACCCAGCTTATGCGATCGTTTACCTTATATAACCGTATATTTGGACAGAGACCAAATTTGCTAAAGGGTAGTATTTAATGAAGGTATCAAACATACGACGGATAAATTGTAGATGAAAAGACCTATAATCAAGTAAAGTGTTCTATATATACATTCCCGCCAACCACTTTTTAATCAGTGATCTATGGCTGCTTGTACGAAGGTTGCAAAGMGTRGAWATGAAGCATTGGACTTTTATCCGATGCATAAGGATTTTTCCACTGTTGTGCTATTTATACCCTTCGTACAATGGCATAGGGGAAGTAAAGATATTTAGTGTACTATTGAAATTCTTGCAATTTATGTTTTATTTGATACATAAAAACTAACAGAGATTTGCATCTATACATGAAGGACAACCAATAATGTCATACTAACCAGCACTACTCTTAACTTCTACAAGAAAGGGAAAAATCCTTAGAATTTTTGAATCAAACTCAATAACTTTTGTTTGATCGCAAGAGAAAACTACGACTACTGAGTTCATAGGTACTGATAAAAATACAAAAGAAAATGGATTTAAAATATACAAGTTATAACTTTGGCAGATTTTTCATGATCAAATGAAAATCACAGTCTCTCTGTACATAACGGAAGTACTTAACTAACACACTAGACGAAATGAAATTTAACGAATAATTCCAGGTACAGCAACATTTACTAATCTAACCAGTTGCAATGTGCAACAATTCGAAACGARCTATAAACGTTCTTTACAGAAATTCGAACTTGCCTAAACTGAGAAACAACATCAATAGTGAGATTAACACACAAGCGCGAAAAACTACTTATCTTGTYCAATAGGCATTGTGCAGCAATAAAGTATGATGGAAGTAGTGGTCCTAACACTTTTTATAGCTTCTGTGAATCTCCCTAAAAGCTGTTTGTGTGTTCTTTGCCATGTGTGTTCTCTGCCATGTGTTCTTTGTAGAAATGGCACAGCCATCTCTATTTGTACCAACAAAAGAAAAAAAAGGGCTCGGGAGGACTGTTTTAGTTACATGAAAAAGTGCGAGGACTACAACTCCAATCATGTTTTTGTTTTGTACAAAATAGCAATTTGCACTTTTGGAATGTTACAAATAGCATGGCGAAGTTA